ACAGCCAATCAGTCTCAAACAAACACACAGAGGCATTTATTAATTATAAACTGTTTGGCCTGTTTTTCAGGCTTATTACTACTACTTACAACATGACTTAAACCGTAATTCTTATCGATGCGTACCCATGTGATTTGGTACCCTTTCTCAGCAAGGCATTCGCATCTTCTTCTGCTTCTGGATGATGACTGTGCCTCTGCCTTTGCTCTTCCCAGAATTCTCCTAGTCCAGTTGCCTCACCTATACTTCCCACCTGGCTACTAGCCAATCAGCATTTTATTAAACCAATACGAATGACAAATCTTTACAGTGTACAAGAGCACTATCCTAGAGCACATTAGTATGGATGAGTCTCAGTGCGCTGGCTGTTGTCTGATCCGGGCAGATCTGGGAGCACTGAAAGTCACACCAAGGGCTGTGCATTCTAAGCATTTCACAGTCCATTCAGAACACAACGCACTCAGTCCCTGCCTTCATTCTAAATAGGATTTCAGATGGTCATATTAAAACATGCTGTCTGCCAAATACAGATGAAGGGCTTCAGAAATATGCTTATCCCTGCTTATTTCGAGTTTTTCACATTGCTTTCCACATACACTAAATATATGGCTAGGCTAAATTTAGCTTCCCTCTGGAAACTCCCCCATCGTGCCAGTCATCACGTCTTCTTCTGGATTTAGTCCTTGTGTTCTAAAAAAATACACTTTGTTGTATGAGCATATTTTGTTCCATCTTATTTTGCCTCACCAATTAAACCGTAGGCTCTTCCGGGATAAAGATTTGGCATATGAATTTTTAATGTCTGTAATATGTGCTAAGACACTTGGGGCCTAGTAAGCCCTCAGTAATTGGAATTCCACTTTAGTTTAACAGTCATGCTCCTCTGCAAAAAAGTGATTGACTACACACTATAACTAAGCCTAATAATGAACTCTCTAGGGAACTCTCATGGGCACATGAATAGTTTAAATCACAAGGTCAGATACAAGAAAGACACAAGATAAAAATATGAAAAGCAATAAACTAGCAATTTATGTGTTTTTCCTCCCCCACTTTAAGAGACTATACTAAAACAATACAATGGCAGGTGAATGTCGGAGCTTCGCTGAAAGCCAGGCGCTACACAGAAGACAGACCTTCATGCGCCCATTTGGGTTTCAGTGAAGAGGCAGGCTTATTCTGGTTCCTGTCGCGGTGGAAGCAGCTGTTAAGCCACCAGAATCTGGAACTAACTTCAGGGCACTTCTTTAAAATAGGGATCAAGTGATGTGGTTCAAGAGGACAAAGAAGAAACACCAGATAGTCCACATTTGTCTGGAACCCATGAGTAGGAGAGCAAAGGGGAACATTTTGAAGATCCAAATAAGAGCTCTTAAGCAATAAGACAGAGGCCAGTTCCCAGCTCAGCCTTGCCTTGGGCCCACTTGCTTTCCTCACTACCCAGTTGAGGTTTCCCTGATACCTACACTTAAATATCACTAAGATTTACTTCTCTGTGGTACTTGTCTTGCTTTAGGGTTTTATACTTTTAAAATTCATTCTATATTTACTTCCATTTTCTCTCCTCCACCACTGCTCCTAAAGTTACACACAGTGTTTTCAATACCGAGCTTTTCTTTCAATGGGAAAAGTATAGTTTCATAGCAAGAAAGGGATTGAGCTTTTGCTCAGCGATCAGACTTGGATCCTTTCTTGAGCAGTTGTTCTTTCTGGTTCCTGGCTGTTTGTCTCACACTAGAATTTTCCACACTCTCACAGAAGAAATTTGTTTCTGATATATCATTAAAGCACAGAAAGAAAGCATAGTAAAGAACCACAACACTAATGCTTAATTTACATTTATTATAGTCTTGTATTGATCCGTGGGATCATGTGCATATCTTATTAATAAAATGCAGCTTTAAGTTTGTCATGCTTTTTTGGGGGGCGGGTGTAGTCATTAAATATCCTCCAGTTTGTGGCAGGTATTAATTTAAGGATCCTGAGATGAATAAACTGGATTCTGGCTCTTCTAGATTTTTTTTTTTTTCCGAGACAGGGTTTTTCCATAGCTTTTGGTTCCTGTCCTGGAACTAGCTCTTGTAGACCAGGCTGGCCTCGAACTCACAGAGATCTGCCTGCCTCTGCCTCCTGAGTGCTGGGATTAAAGGCGTGTGCCACCATCGTCCGGCCTCTTCTGGATTTTGTAGAGGTTGAATTGAGTCTGGAATATCTCCTAATACTCCGTGTCAGCTCTATCACTGTCCCTGTGTGAAACATCCTGCCTCTGGGGGACCGGGCAACAGGAATGGCCGGCTATTTTGTCTCAGTTTAATGATACATGAAATGGACATTATCTTGTAAAGCACCTGTGAGAAGCAGGGACCGATCAGTGAGGGATCCACAGCTCGGACCTGAGAAGCCTGACACTGAAAGAACTGAGATCTAGGGCAGCCCTTGAACTCTTGCCTCAGAGTATCTTGGACTGTCAGCTCAAGTCTCTGGCAGGACCACACACAATCCTTTTTCTTATCATTTCCCAGGGCTTTGAACAGTTAGAGCAATTGCTCTGCCCAAGTCCTTCATAGAGCAACAGTTTTGCTGGATATAATTGCTAGAAACTTTAGTTTTTCGCTCTTTGTCTCCCCCACCCCCTTTCTCAAACTTGCCAGTTAGCTATTTTTATTTTCCTTATGGCAGGATGGGGAAACTGAGATTCAATAGGGGAAGGGTGTGGATAGGCGAGTCATGCCAGGCATGGGAACAAGAACTTTGACCTGGTTCTAGAATGATCACTTTCCTTTTTTATTTGGACAGAGTGTTGCTGTAGAGTACAAGCTGGCTTCACACTTGAGATTCCACTGCTTCACCTCACCCCAAAGTGTTAAGATTGCAAGTATGTATCACAATGCCTGTTAAAATCATCAGTTTAAACCCAACCCAAACCAAACCAAGTAAAAACCACCCCCAACTGCTCAAGAGCTGCCCTTGTTCAGGGTTGTTCATCACGGAAGAGGAACTAAGACCTAACAGCCCCAGTCATAACTGGTCCTCTCTCAAGTCACTGGAGCAAATGTTCAGCCAAGTTCTGAGCGTGGGTTCCTGACGCAGTTTCAGAGGAGTAGGAAAAGATTTGGTTTCTTCCAGAAACTCAAACTATGTGGAGGGGTAAGCGCTAGGGCCATCTTGTTGTGGATGATTGTTCAATTGTGCTATTTCGTAACTCATTCATTTATTCAACAAGAACATCAACTGCTAGAATTGGTATCAGCTAAAGGAAAACTGGTTCTGTTTTCTTCCCTCAAGTTCACTTACAGGGCTCAGAATTCGTAGGAAGCAAACAGACAGGTTTTTTTTTTTGTACGTTTTATTTAATTTTTTTCCCTATGAGCCATTTTGATCATTTTCTTCCACCCAGAACCTACCTATCTATCCACCTAATTTTCTTCCCACAAAAGTACAAAAAAATAGAAATTAGGACAAACAAAAGACCAGTATGACAAAAAAAATCCAAAACAAGTAAAAAAGGAAAACAACAAAAAAAACTCCACAAAAGCATAACCATAGAGCTTGTTTTCTGTAGGCCAACTTCTTCTGAGCATGGGGCCTGCCCCGGAGTGTGGCCGATATTCCCGGTGATACTTCACTGGACAGACAGGTTGAGAAGCAGTCCTTACCCCTCCACATTTGAGAGACAAGCAATCAAATACCGTAGCTCTGTGTGTTTTCTAATTAACAAACACGCTAGCGATGACTTCATTGTTATTGTCTTTGGCAGACACTGGGTAAAGTTTCTTTTATTCTGGTGGATGACAAATTCAGCTCCAACCCCAGAAGTAACACTAGACTGACCGGGTATCTTATTTCACAACACAAGCCTTCTGTAGGGCACTGTCAATCACTTTCTTATAGAAGTGTCTTAAACAGTTGCTCCTTGTATCAATACATAATTGAACATCCAAACTCAGGAATCTTTCAAGGTGTAATATAGCGCTAAGTCCTTTCACAAAATCCATTCTTCTTGACTGAGTTAATGAATTCTGATATTAATGAAGTCATGACCAAGAGAAGCCACAGCTTCCTGAAAACCCTGTAACCACAATGGAGAAAAAGCAGAACCATGTGCCTTGATTTCCAAATCCACACTTCTTGGAACAAGTTCACTCGGATAGGAGTCAAATACTGAGTCTCTCTCTACTGCAATCCTCCAAGGCTTTGTGCAAATAGAGTCTCTCTCTCTCACTCTCTCTTTCTCTCGCTCCTCCCTCCCTCCTTCTTCCCTTTAAACTTTCTCTGGGCTTCTTCATTTACTCCTACATTCTGCTAGGAGAAAATTCGTTTTCAAGACTCCCATCTCAGCAGTTTCCACACTTTCTGGTAAGAAAGATGGGATGCAGCAGGTAAAAGTAACATGTCGATAACCCTTGCTGACAGTCTCTTTTCTCTTATGCCTTTAGTTTGGTTTCCTAACAGTTTACACTCCCGCTCCATCCCGTGGGCCAGGCACTATTTGAATATTCAGTCCGGCTCCAGCTTCTCATCTGTGAGCCAGAAAGCTGATTCTTAGAAGGGCGAGGCCACACTTTACCGTTAGTTTCATGCCCAAACCTAACGCACAGAACTACGGAGCGCACGCACTGAGCCCTTCCGTGGCCACCCGGCTCCCACCCCGCGCGACCCGGCGCCACAGGGCCTCAGGGCCCCACCGCCTGTCCCCGAGGGCTCACGGCCGCTTCCGGGAGGTCGTCCAAGCGGCTCGTTTCACTCCCCCTCCCAGTCGCCGGTCCCGCCCCGCTCGCAGCTCGCGCGTGCGCGCTTGCTGTCCGGAACGCGCCGGGGCGCGCGCGCTGGAGAGGCGGGGCCGCGCCACTCGCAGATTGTCCCCGCCCCCGCCCCGCGGCGTTCCGTTGTCGCCGTGGCAACCCGAGAGCGGCAACGGCGGAGGCGCGCGAGTCCGGCGCCGCCTCCCGGCCGCCCAGCAGTAGGCAGCGGCCGCCCGGCCCGCGCTGTCCCCGCCTCCCGGCCCGCCCTCGCCGGCCGGAGTGAGCGACCGCCAGTCCGCGGATCCCGGCTGCCGTCCGGGCGCGCGCAGCTAGCGGGCGCGACTATGCTAAGATGGTCCTGCAGGCGCGGAACAAGCACCGGGACGCGGCTCCCAGGCCGCCCCGGCCGGCCCGCGCATCACCGCCGCCACTGAGCGGGACATCTGAGGTGGGCGCCGGGGAGCCGGGGCTGGAGCGCGCGCCGCCGTCTCCGGGGCGCAGAGGCGCGGCGGGCAGGAAGGGGCCCCGCGCGGAGACCGCTGCGCCCGCCCCGGACGGCCTCGCGGGCCGCCTGGCGGTCGGGCTGCGCTGGGCACTGGGCCTGCGGCGCGGGCGCGGCCGGACCTGGAGCACGCTGCTGCTAGGTGAGCCAGTTAGCAGCCCTCTTCGACTTTTCCCGGGACGCTCCTGCCTCCTCTGCTCCTCCCCACTCCTTCCGGGGGCCCAGCTCTGCGCACCCTTCGCCCCGCCGTCCGCCCGGGCTTTTAAAAACATGGCCCGGAGATCATCAGCATCTAGGCTGGCGGCGGGCGGGCCGGTCCGCGCGGAGGAGACCGGGCTAATGCCTGCAGCGACAGTCCACTCTTTGCCGCTGGCTTGGCCGCTATCTCGGAGGATGGCTTGCTTAGGGATGGGAGCGATTCCTGGAGCTCGAAATACTCAGGTTCCTGTCTTAGAAAGTTGCCAAACTTATAATTAAATTTTAGCGTGCTTTTTCCCTTCTTGGACGCAAACACTGCGGGTGGCACTTCGTGGTTCTGTCACTTTCCAGGTTGTCTTGTGTTTTGGATGCCCAAGCTTTAACCTTCCCTGCTGGCATCTCTCATCCTTTTTCCATGCACCAAAAGGATGGGTTGTAACTGTGTGCCGGAAAGAAAGTTGAAGCAAGCATTCACGCGTGGGTCGCCTTCTGGGTTTGCTTTCTGATTGACATTGTCCAAAAAGGCAAGTTTATAGAAGTTTGGATTAGCAGGCCTAATTTTTCCAAGTCCCTCATTAAGATCCTGTAATTTTTTTTTCTTACCACAATGGCTTTTAGTTATTGAATCATTTAGTTACTAGTGATATTTTGTTACTATTTTTCACTTTTCCTTAATTACCTTTACATGTTTGGGGTGCTGCAAGCCTGGAATTTGGGGTTAGACGGGCCATACAGCAAAATTAGCCTTTCTGTGGGGATAGCCTCTTACCACAGCCATTGAGTCACACTGTAAGCCAGGCATGATTATGTGTTTGTGGGTTCAAGAAGGCTCGCATTGTTACAGTGGTATTTTCTCTTTTTTATAGTTGGGCCAAGATTAGGCAAATTCATTATTTTCGTCATGCCTCCCTTTGGTAACAAGCTTGAGAACCTGGCCAGTGTACAGGTTAGATTCACCTTGGGGAGGCAGCGTGGTACAGTAGATGAGGCCGAAGGCACGCAGAGCTGGTGCACAGTGCTTGGGTTTGGTTTCAGGCTTACTTTGAGGGCCTTCTCTGTTATGTGGAGTTATCTTTTGCACTACTCAGGGATGGCCCAAGGAGCCAAACTAGAAATTCCATGGCTAATGCATGTTTGTGTCTAAAGCATTTAGCAGCATCAGTTCCTATTGTGGAAGCAAATGTGTAACCCTGATTTCGGATCCCATGACAGAGTAAATCTCCAGCTTTTGTGAATGGCTGGTGTAAACAGCAATCGTAGTAAAGTAATGGATGGATTGTTTTCATTTCAGGGAGAGACAGTAATAGATTTTAAATGATACTTTTTTTTATGTTTTACAGTGAATTTCCTTTGGGTTTTCTTACACTGGATGGCTTGTATTTGGATTTAGTAATGCTCTTGTGGAAATATAGTTTTGTTTAATACAGCGTTTCTCTTGATTTGCTCTTTTGGCATTGTAAGTGGAAGTACAGTGAGTGTGTCAGGCTTAGGTTTTACCTGGACTGAGGTCACCAGGTGTGTAGAATTGGGAAGAACACCATAGTTGCTGGCCTCTTGTGTGAACATCTGCTGTCAGGACACACAGCATCGGGAGGAGGGTTCTGTGCATGATCAAACCTGGTGTGCCTGGCTCAGCTCTGGCTCTGCACCCTCAAGACTGGCAGCAGCAGAGATTCTTCCTGGCACCATGCTCCCAGAGCATCAGAAAGGCACTTGTCCTGCTGAGGGTTCCAGCAATTTCCATGTCTTTGAAAGCTTTTCATTTCCTCTTTTACCCTCCCAGAGGAGGTGAAAGTTGTATTTCAGTGTGGAACTTGAAAGTGGCTCCTGGGTCTTCCATGTTGAGAGGCATTTATTTCATAGTCACTTGTTGCTTGGCTTAATTGTAGCTGCTCGGCTCTATCAACTACATGTTGGCTATGACAAGGTAGCTTTGTGTAAGAATAAATGTCCTAACTTGGACGTCCATGATAGCGGCACATGTTAGAACTGTTCAAGTGTTTCTTCATGTGTGCTGGGCACTGGTAAACCACTTACCAGGTGTCCCTTTCCACTGCTGGGGGTGCAGGACAATGACAAACAGTTAGTGTGAACATATGCTTTCTTATAGATGGACATAATTATTTAATTCAGTGGTGACAAAGAGGTCTTGAAATGTTTATTTTTAGAAGTTCCGAGCTACACAGACAGTGGTGGAGGGAGAACCTTGAAAATGTTTATCAAACTTTCCTGACCACAGTAAATAATATAGGTCGCCTCTAACCAGCTCCCACCTCAGAGAGTGCATCCTGCTACATAGCACTATGTGTCTGAGTAGATTTCCGTGTTCATGCAGGAAGCATTAATAATTGAGCTATTTTCAGAGTTACAGACAGGTTTGAGAAACCTACAAAAGCTGTCAGGCCATTGAGGTCCACTGAGCAGTGGGAATGGACTCACAGGGGAGATGCGAGGCTTGCAGCTTTGTCAGGAGGTGTGGGCAGCTGTGCTGAGGGAGCAAGGTCACCCAGGAGGAGCTGCACAGTCTTCCCACACTCTGGTCTTCTGCTTCTAGTGCCTTTATCTTCACTGTCCGGTCTACTAAAGTGACCTGTCGAGCCACCTTTTGGGATTGGGGTCAAGGCAGAGAAAGGCAGGCAGTGAACACAAACTGGCAAAGTCCAGTTAACACTGCCCTTCGGTAAGGCTTGTTTTTTGTTTCTCCTTTCCTCTTTTCTGGTTAATTCTGTCAACTTGACACTACTTTAGAATTACCTGGGTTTTGGGAACTAGATCTGGTTGGTTGGCCAGGAGAGGATTATCTTGTCTGTTGACTGATGTAAAAAGACCCAGCCAGTTGTTGGCTCTACCATTCCATTCCCTAGGTGGGGGTCTCGAACAGTCCAAGAGCAGAGAAAGCTGTGAGAACAGGCAAGCAAAGATGAATTCACGCGTTTATTCTCTCTCTGCTCTCAACTGAGCATGCTGCTTTATACATTCCTGAATTGACTTCCCTGCAGTAATCGGCTAAAGCCTGGCGTGGTCCTCTCCCACCCCTATGTTGCTATTTGTCAGGATAGTTCTAACAGTAAGAGAAATGAAGCAAGGACTTCCTTACTCTCTCCTGTGGTTCTCTTCAGGCCTGCCGCAAACTTGGTGGGTTTCTGAGCCACATATTTAGCTTTTTGATATTTGACTTGGTCTTGTGTAAGATGAGAGATCTGAATTAGAACAGCAGTTCTTAACCTGAGCTATACACTGGCGATATCTGAAAACTTGAAGCATCCCATAGTCCATACATTAGACCCCTTAATTGTGTGTCTAGTGCTGGGCATATGGCAGAAGGAAGCACACTGGAGGAGGTGGGTTTGAAATGCTTGTTTTTTTTTAAATATTTATTTATTTATTATGTATACAATATTCTATCTGTGTGCATGTCTGCAGACCAGAAGAGGGCACCAGACCTCATTACAGATGGTTGTGAGCCACCATGTGGTTGCCGGGAATTGAACTCAGAACCTTTGGAAGAGCAGGCAATGCTCTTAACCACTGAGCCATCTCTCCAGCCCTGCTTGTTTGTTTTTAGTGCTGGGGACTGCCTCCTAAGTCCTGTACCAACCACTGAGCTTCCCGATGCAGATTGGCACCACTGGGATATGGAATTCCTTTATGACTGCAGTGTTCTGGGACTGTAAACCTGTACCCCTCCTTTTATTTCATTTATTCACTCATGTGTGTATGTGCTTGTGCGAGCACACACATGAGCACACACACACACCTGTGCGCACGTGCTTGTGTGTGTACATGTGATTGTGCGTTAGAGGAAAACCTCAGGAATCAGTTCTTTCCTACTATGTGGGTTCCTGGGCCAGACCTCAGGTTTTAGGCTTTGTAGTAGGAACCTTTACCCGCTGATTCTGCATCCCTGCTCTATCCAGTTCCTTGAAATGGGCACATGAACTATCCGATTGCTGTAGTTTCTCTTAATTGATTGTTTCCTCAAAACTGGAGCTGTTAGTTGCCACTTGCCTGATACAGCTACTTCCTTCTTACATTCACCTGTGTCCTGACCTTTATCAAAAGAAGGAAGAAAGTTCTGCAGTTGGAGAGGGCTTTGTTTCAGGGGTGACCATGAGAAATATTCCTATTGAACGTGCATGTGCAGAAAACATGCTAGTGGTGCAGGACTGCAGTGTAAGATGCCATCTGTAGAACCATTAAAAAGGTAACTGTGGTGCTTTGAGTAAGAATGCCCCCCATAGGCTCATGTGTGTGTGTGTGTGTGTGTGTGTGTGTGTTTGTCCCTGGGGAGTAGTACTACCTGCAAGAGATTAAGAGATATGGCGTCATCAGAGAAACTGTGTCACTGTGGGGTGGGTTTCAGAGACTCTAGCCTGGCCCATGTCTTTTTCTTCTTTCTGCCTTTGGATCCAGATGTGAACTCTTGGCTCCTCTCCAGCACCATGTCTGCCTGTGTCCCAGCATGCTTCCGGTCATGCTGACAAGGGACTAAACTCTGAAACTGTACGCAAGCCCCAGTTAAATGCCTTCCTTTGTAAGGATTGCCGTGGTCTTGGTGTCTCTTCACAGCAGCGCAACAGCGACTAAGACAGAAAGTCATGTCCGACCTAGTTCCTGTGGCAGTTGCTACCCGTTTGAGCTTCATGATGTTTTGGGTGGGATCATTCTGTGTTTTGAGGGACTGTTGTGTCTTACAGGGGTGTTAACAGAGTTCTAGGTTTTACCTACCAGAACCTAGTCGCGCTTCCCCAGTGGTAGCAACCAGATGCTTCCTAAATACTGGCAAGTGTAACTGGGAGGCAAGCACCACATTGGAACCACTACCACCAAGAGCCATGACTATGAGAGCATGTGACTAGCTGGGGACAGGGAGGAGGCCTGTGAAGGCAGAGTTGAGTCCAGGTACTGGGAACTGGGATGGGTCAGCAGGGCATGATGCGGTGG